AATGATACTATGAGATCCCATGTACATAGTCTAATACACAAAAATACTAATGTTGCATTTATCAAAACCCGATCTCGTTTCAAATGGTTTCATACTGCAAAGTTTTAGTGTCATTAAAATACTCCAGTAACTTGGACGTTCTTTTTCAACCACAGGAATTAAAAGCGGAATATCTCATTTACTGTATATATTACTGAAATTATAGTTGAATAAAACTTGTTAGCTGTGTAATTGAGATGTAGATATTTCTGGGAAAGGGAATCATTATAAAAAACTGATCGGTATCTATCGACTGATTCGTACATATAGTTTATTTTTACAGAGATTAGTAGTAAACTGAACAGCTTAATAGTAAATTCTGTGAATACGACAACTATTGATGCATGTTTCAATCTGAGATAGAACGTGAGTCATCTACAAAATTACGATGTATGTAATGAAACAAGAAAGCCAGATTCGAGGGGGGTTTCCTATGGCTAATTTTTTAACATCCACTCCTGTTATTATAATTGTTTAGTTGCAGTATTTGTGCAAAACTATATACTACTGATCGACTGAAATGAGTAGTTGCATACCACTCATATATCAACCAAGTAGTGTTTGCTAGCCAGATTAAGGTGATCTAAGTACCGGACAACCGTTTCTCTTGCTGGCTGGCTGGCTGGATTCAACATAGAACTCGGCACCGAAGTGCAGCAGTTCGAGTTGCCACGTTCCAAATAGCACACAAAGGTAGACAAGAAAATGAGTGAAGAGAATCAATAGAGTTTTGACAAGTATAAGAGTGAAACAGAATGAGTAATGTTAGAAAGTAGTATGAAAGTTTACAGAGACTGAATACATCTGCGTAAGCCATTGACAGCGATTTTGAGCCATGTCACCTATTGTCTCCAGCCATTGATTCTTAGAGTCCCGAGGGCCCCAACCCGGAAGTCTGCATCTCCCTACCTGACTCAGTTCAACTGTCAAGGATTTCATGGATTGATGCCATGTTTTTGTTTGGCCACCACTTACTCTTTTCCAACCTGCACCTATATCAGCTAGTAATGCCCGTCCGTCGGGGGAGGCGATGGTTAGGCATGCGCAGCACGTGACCTAGCCATCAATCTGAACAGAACTGTAGGAGACGGTCACCGTTGTCGGTTCGCTGGCAAGGAATTCCGTATGTGCCACTGACATTCTTCTCAGATTGACACAATTTCCCTACTTGAGCAATAAAGTCACCAGCTAAAACGACTATATCGGAGCGTTTAGCCTTTCGCAGCAAACTAGACAGCTTTTGGTAGAACTCATCCTTCGTTTCATCCGAACTGCAGTCAATGGGGGCGTAGGCGGAGATTACGAAAAGGCATTGGCTAGTAGTGCAGTCCTTTCTCCTTTTCACTGATCCGTTCAGGCGGACAGCACACATTCGTGTATCTACCGGGATCCAGTCAAGTAATGTCTTTTCTGCCCTAGTAGCCAAAGCTATCCCAAAACCAGCTAATCCTCTTGAGCTAGCCGTCGCATCTCCTGACAACCTCAAGGTGAATTTTGCAGATTTATCCTGTTGGCCAGGTGGGGTTAGGTGAATAACCACACTTGGGTCTTGTATGCGTGTTTCTGAAACACAACATAAATCAATGGCTCGGGATGCCAGAGTTTTGGCTAGTGATGCTTGTTGTCCTATTTGGCAAAGTGTCCTAACATTAAATGCTCCGATATGAAATTGGTGGCGTTGCTTTAGGAGACTATCGATGGTGGCTTTTTGGCTTCCATCGTTATCAGTGCACACAGAGTGAAGAGGAAGTGAAGAGCCAACAAGTAGAGGAGTTGCATTGGTAGAAGGAAGGCAAGATAATAGAGATGAAGATGAAGACAAAGATGAGTGAGGATTAGAGAGGTTTCGCGTGCACTTCGGATTGTGAGGGCGATTGTTACTTCCCGGCTGCCCACACCGTGGAAGTTGGTTGCGTGACCGCAGAGCCCAGGGGACAACTGCTTGAGGCCGGTCACACACGGCCTGTTTTTGTTTTTTCTTATGCATTTGGTGTGTCTCAGTAGCGTATTTATCACTTCTGCCCTGTGACAAGGTAGCTGGAAGCGCGGTCGTTGTTAATCCGGACCCCGACCGATCCGGCATGATAGTTTGTGTTTTTGTTTGAGTCATGGCATTGGATTGGGTAGCTGCTTTTTGTCTAACCGCTATCCAAACAACCTTTCTGGCATGGTAGGACCTACAGGAACTTAAGTTCCAGCTAGTATAGCTCGTTGGGTCATTGCGATATGCAAGCCCGACCACCACGTCAAGGTAGCAGCTTTCGGTCGGAACCGTTTCTCTTGTTTGGAGCCGAGCTCATCAGAGGCGGTGTACCCGGCTGGACTCAGCTCGAAGAGCCAAATCAATTCAAACCACTACTACTGGTTGGTATGAGTGGCATGCGAGTACTCATCTCAATCGACCAGTAATGTATATAGTTTTATGTAGATATACTTGCTTTCTTGATTACCATTTGTGGTATCAAGTAGATCACATATATTGTGATCGGAACAACTTGGTTTCTAAATGGAAATACAATGAAATTTTACCACTCGTACTGTGTAGATTACAAATTGTGAATTTGATTTATAGTTGCAGTATGTTTCGCAAGAGTGCGTCGGTGGCATAGCGGTTAGGACGCTCGCCGACCATGCACATGATCCGGGGTTCGAATCCCGGCCGACGCACTCCTTTACCTCGCTAAGCCAGGAATAATGCTGGTGAAGAGGAAAGGCTGGGCATGAGGCTAGCAACCCCATCCTGTAGAATAAACAGTACTACAGAAACTTCAAGCCACTAGCTTGAAGCCCTATGTTCCACTGGGGAACATGAAGGAAAAAAATGTTTCGCAAGAAACGATCCTACTGTGACTGTACAAAACCAGGGACGTTTTTTGACGATATTATACTATTATTCTCTTGACAAATAGTAATAAGATTACGTATACATGTTTCAAATGTATGCATGTACACTCCATTAAATAATAATAATAAAAGCGATATAGATAAGTATGACGTTTGTTCAATTGTAAATATCAACTGCCTTGGTAATGAGACGTTAGCTATCACGTGTCAAGCTTGCAGAACATAAAACAGTCGACATACCCGTAGATTTTACCGTTTTTGTTGATATTTATGTAAAATAAGAAGTCTATTTAAGACTAAACCATTGAAGGATAGAGACCCTAGATTCACAAAAATGATTGATGTTTAATTGTTTTATTTTAAACCTTAATAAATATATATATATATATATATATATATTCAAGTTGAATATTAAAGGTTTCGATCAGTGTGTCTAGCCAAAAACGTATGCCTTCATCAGCAGATATGCTGGTATATTCCCAGGTCAAGTCAATATACATTGTTATCAGCGTATTTATATATCATATGTGTGCAACACATGTGTGACGATAACTTATCTTTCTTTTCTACCACTTCTTTTGAGAATCACTCGCATCATTTTTATTCATCGATTGATTCGTTGGTTGTATTAGATTGAAAAAATTATTTTTCATAACTAGACTGTAATTCTTACTGAAAACAACAACAGCACTTGTTCTTATGTTTGATCATGGATTGTTGTTAGTTAGAGAACCATTTGTAGATTTGTGGAGTACTAAACAGCTGTTTCATTCTGTTCCGTGATCAAATTTGAAACCAACCAACCAATCAAATTTTCTACAAACTGACACTTGAAAATTAATCTGATGCTCACTAGTGATTAACTACAAGATGAAGTTGCCTGGAGTTCTAGTGAGAAGTCATGACCATTGGTGTCCACTAGGACAAATACACCCCCGATGACACTATCTGGCTATCATCTCGTAATCTGAAGGTCTGGGTTCGATCCTAGTGATTTATGGGTGCGTACTGATGAAGAGTCAGTTCCAAAGTAGGGTGAAACAGCTGTCCAGTACACCCTGGTTTCTAATGGATCTCTGACTGAAGTCATTCTGTGATCAAACTAGAAATCTATTTTCCCTTCTTGTTTTCTATTCAAATTCATCAAGGGAAATAATTGTGTGAAGTATTCTTGTGTATTTAACGAGAGGATGATTAGTTCTTTGCATCTACAATAATTATTCGTTTTATTTTCATTTAATTAATTAATTGATTAATTAAATTCAACACTATGGGATTTGATTTTTCGTTGACTAGATTAACTCTTTCAGATGAATAGGTTATTTTTCATACTCGTGATATCCAGCTATCGACCAAAGGGCGGGTGTACTGCTCATCAGTCCGCTCCGTCCTCCTTTATGGCTGTGAGACCTGGCCATTGAGAGTGGAAAACATGAAAAGGCTGGCTAGCTGTCTTTGATCATAGGTGCCTGCGCTCTATCTCCCGTGTGAAGTGGTATAATAGGGTGAGCAATACTGAGGTTAAGCGTCGAGTGCTAGGTAAGGAGGGGAAATCAATAGACGAGGTTGTGAAGCAGCTGCATCGATTGAGATGGTTAGGACATGTGTTACGTATGCCTAGTCATCGCCTTCCTCGACTGACGGGCAATATTAGCTGACATAGGGTCAGGCTGGAAAAGAGCTAGCGGTGGTCAAACCAAAACATGGCACCAGTCAATGAAATCTACAACAGTTAGTTTAAGCCACGTAGGAAGGTGTAGACTTCCTGGTTGGGGTCCTCGGGACAGTAAAAGCCAATGGTTGGAAACAATTGGTGATATGGCTCAAAATCGTTCTCAATGGCGCAGATGCATCCACTCCTAGTGACTTATAATTTCCAGTGAAACTATATTGTTCTTCGTTATTACTATTCCTTTGTCTCACACCTCTGTTTACTGTCTCTATTATGCATTTCTTCTCTTGCTTTGTGTGCTACAAGGAGGGAGTGTGGCGACTTGAACTGCTGCACATCGGTGCAAAGTTCTATGTCGAAAACAGACAGACAGATTTTTCATACTCTTCATTTTACTGAAAACTTTTAATGAGTATACAATCTGTTTCATTTTTTTTTCTATTAGGTGTTATTGGATGTCATACATGTCTGCTTAGTTGAACATTTTAGAGTATATTCTAAGTGTTCTATTGAAGTGCCATCATCATCATCATCATTGTGGTCAAACTATCTTGTACGTAGCCTACATACTGTGTATAAACTTGTAAATAATTCAGATCATTTATGGATTCATAATTTATATCCTACTGTGGACACAATTATATATGAATTATTATCGTCATACACTTCTTGTCCAAGCAAGTCCAACACTTCTAGTCCTTGTTCTTCAGTGTCTTACAACAGTCTAGTCAATTATTTAACTTCTATAATGAAAACTCGAAAAGCTCAAGGTTTCAATGAGGTAGCTGTATTTGAAATAGACGCAGGATTACCTTTGCGTATTATAATTCTTTGTGGACTGGAAAGCATTTCAAAATTAGGTAAGTCTTTTGTTTTCTCATGATGTTTATTACTGCGTTTTTGTTATGATATCATTGTCATCGAACGGAAGGATAAAGCGGACAATAATTCTTTCTACAGTTAATAAATTTTTTCAAGTATTGGTTTTATAGGGATTTAGTTTGATTGGATGGAGGATTTCATCATGAGCTGACATCAGTTAGAGAACCACTGGAAAACCTGGGAGTACTGGACAGCTGTTTCAGCAGCCTAGTTTGGGGACTCTTCATCAGTACGCACCCACCGGGGTTCGAACCCAGGACCCTTTGGTTACAAGGTGAGCTCGTAGACCATTGAGCCACTGGCCCCTGGCCCATGAATTTTTGGTGGCTTTGTCTTATTGTTGTCAGATAGTTGGAGACAATCGACAGGGAGTCTTAGGTCTAGGTTTCGTGCTTTTTTGACACTCGTCAGAAAGGCGTATCTGCTGCAGTTGGAGGCAGTATCACAGAGCTATTTAGGCTGACGATTGACTGACAGAATTCAGTGTGCACACCAACACCAAGGACTAGACGCATGACATCATCTACTACCTAGTGTCCAGTCAAAGGTTTTGTCTTATGTAAACTATCACCTGAATATTATAAGTGAAAGTTTGTACAATATAAACATGATACAACTGTAGCGTATATATTTCTTGCAAGTAACTAAACTTCGTGTCATGACAGCCTTGACTAAATATATTAAGAAATTGATTTGTGCATGAATTGTCGTTGTGTAAGTTGTCAATAAAATGCCACACTCAAGGTGTTTCTTTGTGCATTACCTTCTGATACTCTGTCAATTGTGACACATCTGAAACTAAATCTATGCTGTGGGCAATACAAAATAAGTCAGAGTGATTAACAAGCATGGTGTGTGTGTGTGTTAAGACGTGAATAGTGTTCATGCTACTATTATGAATTTAAAGTCTCCAGTCATCGATTAAGATTCAAAGATATGCTGGATTAGTGTCATTTTTGAGTTTGCTTAACTTTAATCTTTTTTTTTACTACTAAATTTAACCTCATTTAAATCACTGAACATCAGGGTAAACGATGGTTCAGTGTCTATTACATCTTCATGACTTACTCTAAGTGTCAATTGTTTACAACACCACTAACCAACTTAGCTCTAGTAACTTGGACTTCGCATTCCCTTAAGTTTGTAGGATAAAAGAGAATCGGTAAGCTCACCTGAGACATCCTGCTTCATCGGTGTGAAAGCATTGAAAAAGTGACAGAAATCAAAATCCCGGGCTTATGGTTCAAAAAACTTGTAAAGGTGCACATACATTTCATAACAAAAGCGGTCGGAAACAGTTGTGCATTTGTATACAGGAAGGTAAAGTAGTGTGAGTATCACCTTCCGTGTCATCATGAAAGGCCACTAATTTTCATCCATCTGGTACAGATGATGGAGAAAAAAGAAACCAAAACTGAAAACAATCATTTATACTCTACACTGCATATAGCCACCGTTGAAGAGTTGAAGTGAGAAGAACCTCATGATGTGCTTAACGCATCTGGGGGAGGGGATATGATACAAGCTCTTGCGTAACGTTTGACTGTAGCATGTATATACATTTATATTTCGATACGATTGTGTTCTCTTAGCTGGGTGATTCGGTTGCTAATCTTTCGTTGTCCTTCTAGACAACATCTTCAGCGCAAGCTTTAATATGAAGTAAACTTATTTGAATTCTCCGTGAACGATGTAGTTGCATCTCCTGACAACCTTCGTTGTGATTGGTTGCTAATTTGCATCAGTAGAGATTGTTTCTATTGACTTTTTTGATCATGTAGCTTATTCTTTATTAGTTGGTGAATTTGATCAATCTATACTGGTGTACCTGTTAATCGCCAATCCCTCTGAACACCAGACTTGTAGGAATTCCCTGGCATTTTTTGTGTTTCCACTGTTTAAAATTTCTACATTTTCCTAATCCAGTTGGTGTCCATAATTGTCTACATGCATTGATATGGAAGAATAAATGTCGTGTATTCTCGTTCTCAGTGGCGCAGATGCATCCACTCCTTGTGACTTATGATTTCCAGTTAAATTGTTTTGTTCTCCGTTATTACTATTCCTTTGTCTCACACCTCTGTTTACTGTCTATATTATGCATTTCTTCTACTTTCTTCTCTTGCTTTGCGTGCTACACAGATTGTGGCGACTTGAACTGCCGCACATATGTGCAAAGTTCTATGTCGAAAACCGACCGACCGTGTATTCTAACAGCTAGTTAATGTTCCTAGATTCGGATTCGAAGGGGACTCCCACTTTGGATTTATGCTGCATAATGGGCTACTGAAAATCCCACATTGCATCAGGTGTATTGTCTGGAATAAAGCCATTATTATTTGACCAATGTGGTACTTATTACAATCCATGCAACTTATTTTGTAGATAGTATTTTCTTGTCTTCTTTTACAGTTGGGTCTTATTGTCTGCATAGTATTGAATTAAAGGATTGTGTTGATTGGTTTGCTATATCTCTATTTCAAACGGTCTTAGTATTCTAGCCGTTATTTCAGGAACATTCTTGATGTACATGGGAGGATGAATTTTCTTGTGGTTTCCAAGAATTGTTCCTTGTTAGTAGTTTGTGTAATTCGAATTTAGACATTTTTTGATGAAATTATGAGGGTATCCATGTATCTTAAAAATAGTTAATAAATATCGCTAGAGAAAGAAAGACCAGATTCGCAGTATAAAATGATATCATCATTCTATTTCACAGGTTCCCATCAGCTGCAAACTACCTGAAATTACAATGGTTATAAACTTAAACTGTAAATCGTAATACTTATATTCCAGATGCGTTCACCTTATAATGTTTTCTCTATTACCTTTCAGACAAAAAAGTATGAAATGTTATTATTTATAACCATTGTAATTTCAGGTAGTTTGCAGCTGATGAGAACCTGTGAAATAGAATGATGATATCATTTTATACTGCGAATCTGGTCTTTCTTTCTCTATCGAAAGTTAATAAATACTTCTGTTCTATTCTCTTCAGAACTGAAATGCTGTAGTGTGTTTTAACTCCTTAGAATAGTATTCGCACTTAGTTTCTTTTTGTCTGCTGTTGGATTATTCTGTTGTAGTTGAGTATTCAGTCTGTATGATTTGATTTCCTGTAAACCTGTGTTACTAGATTTCTCGTGTGTTTGTTCTCTTAACTAAGACACCTAAGGAAGGAATTTTATTGCCTGCTGATCCTTCGTTCCGTGTGAATTCGATGTCTGCAAATACGTTGTTGATTCATTTGTGAGTGTATTCTAAATCATTCTGTCTCATTGTAATCAATACATTACTTAGTTAACATATCTAGGGTTTTGGTGTGATCATTGGTACAGTTACGCTTTTGAAGTGAAGGCAGGAGTAAGACAAGGCTATCTACTATCACCGATTATATTCTAAATTGTTAGACTGGATTATGCGGCAGGCCGTGGGGAGCCAGAAGACAGGCATATGTTGGATCGACGAGAAGAATCTAGGAGACCTGGATTTTGCGAACGATTCACCTCTAATATCACACAAACGCAAACATCTAACGGCGAGAACCACCAAGTTAGCAGAAGAAACAGCGAAGACAGGACTTCGAGTGAACATAGAGAAAACATAGTTGATTGAGATACGTAACGAACAACAACAAGAAACAATCACCATCAGCGGCAGAAATCTAAATTTAATTACCCATGCAGCACGGATGAAGATATCAAAGCCTGGATTGGAAAGGCAGACCTCCATTAATCTGAAGTCATGGTGGAATGCTACTGCAATCGGAACACTTAACATGATCCGGATCTCCAACACTAATGTTAAAACAATACATCTATGTAGTTCAGAAACTTGGCCCACGTATCACCTAAGATATTTCCAACAGCTTACTGGAGACTTCTGTAAACATATGTCGTCGCCTCATACTGAAATTCAGATGACCTGGAAGGATTAGCAACAAAGAACCCCATTAATGAATCAACCAAGAACCTATCGCCCAAAACTCATGTAGCTAGAAATGGAGATGAATTGGACATACACTGAGGAGACCTCTGAGTGATACCATGCGTCAGGCCCTCATTGGAACCCGGATAGAAAACGATGAGTTTGGCGTAGTTCCGAGGATGACACGATAGGAGATGAGAGTTTGTGGTCAATGGTGTAGGCGGCTGAAAATGACTGTGGAGAATAAGATAAAATGGAGATGTGGTGTTGAAGCCGCATATTCCACTCGAAGCCTGTGGAAATAATGAAAATATAGATCTATCGTTTCCAGTCTCCGTCTAATAGCCTCACCAGTTGGTCCTGGAAGAAATCTTATATATATATATATATATGTACCACCTAAAGAAATTATTTTACTTGTATATTTGTTTTCCTACATGGTCAGTTATTTATTTGTTCTCAGTGTTATACTAAACAAAGTTCATTTTCCATATTGTGAATAAACATTATATTGTTTGTAGTGAAAAACAAATGAAAAAAGCCTAATAATTCCTGTCATATAATTTTATACGCTTATCTGATTTTCTTTTAGATTCAAATAACCCACGATTTTGGTCTTCACTGAGCTTTCTTCATAAGCTGATATTAGACATGGAGTTGTACCAACCTAGTACTGATCATCACATTTATGAAGATTCAATCATTGCTTTACTGTCCGAGGATGATTCACAACTTTTTCGTGCTTTGGATTTATGGATACAAATTGAAGATCGTGCAGTGTCTGCTGACGAGTAAGATTGGAATATTTCTTTCTTCAGATCTTCTGTGTTGTATAGGAACACTACAATGCTATTTATCTTACTATCTCTTTACTTAACATACTTATTGGGGCATAATACGATTTTAAAAGCTGAATAATTATACCGTAGATAGTTTATATTGTAATTGGTTGCAAAATAATCATTCTTGTCGATTATTCCGCAGAAATTGGTTGATATTCGTACTGTGCTATCGGTTTGCATTAGTATTTTGTCACACGCAACCCTTCAACATATTATACAGAATATGCATTTGAAATAAGCAGTTACCTGTAATACCAGAAAAGTGGAAAGTATAGTGTCTGAGCACTATTCGAAGTTGTTTCATACTAAACTGCATTATGATCTCAAATGTTAACAGTCAGTTTGGTAGGAACCCCCATGTTATGATCTCATTCTCAATTGATATGAGCTCGTCGATAGTTGATATGACCAAGTGGACTTATACGTGGAATATAATAACAGACGCAATGAACAACTCAACTGAGATGCTTGATACGCCTATTCCTCCCTACCTTCCGCTTCACCGAGCCACGTAAATATCGAAAGACAAAGGCACTGGTCTGGGGCTATTAAGGTACGACTTTTTCAGGAAAAGAGCACATCATGTTTATATATTTCTAACCACATTAAAATTTGGCGAAGGCAGTGGAAATTTGGTTGTCTATTGGTAGTTGGTTGATCCGGGACCAAGGTTGGAAAAAGACAATGAAATTTTACAGTCATCCTATCACAAGATGAGTCACATGACGAATCACGAGATGATTACTATTTCAGCCGCTTCCTATTATTCCAGGCTCAAGTTTTCTGCTTACTTCATTCATTAATAAGGGAGTATCTGCGTAAGCGTGGCTCGTTAAGTTATACGCTTGACTCTGTAATTCAAACGCCGCTTCAACTAAATTGCTTTCGAAATCAAGTGAACATTTGAAGCCTTCATACATAAGATGCGGCTTATAACCTAACGTAACAGCATTGCAAGGAAATACCATTTGATATGTTGTAGCGTAATTGACTTATTTATTCAATCGACTTTCGATTAATAGAGCCAGGGAATACTGGGCGGCTGTTTCATCTATGTTTGGGACTCTTTAGCAGTACATAGCCATAACCTCACGTGAAGGATCAAAGCTGGAACCTTCAAATTACAAGGTGAACTCGTATACCACTCAACCACTGGAGTGGAATTCACTTCTAAGTTCTGCCAATTCGCGATATGACGACACCACCAGCCGATGTCATCGGTGAGTAACTGTTCTCACACCGAACTTAGCGGTGCCCGCTTACCATGACTTTCGCATTGAAACTCCAGGTAGCCGCATCCTGTAGTCAGTTACTAGTGAGCACTAGGCGAATTCTTAAGTGTTGGTTTACAAATCATTTTTCTTCTTGTATCTTTTCGGGTAAAACTAGAAGAAATTTCATAAGAATTTATGCATGCATAGCTAAATATGGAAATGCAAACTAAACAATATTTAGCACGGGTGTTGTGTAAAGAGACGAATGTCGGAAAAGTGCTTGCAAACCCATTTTATAATGTGTAAATAAACAGCAATTTATTACCGGTACTATTATTATTATTATTCCATATATATTATTTTTCTGTTAACTTCAGTTTGTTACTTTTTCGCTATTTACACTGTTTACGTCATTTATTTATTTGTAAAAAGGAGATAAACTGTTACAATATGTACAACGCTGAAACTTCTATTCTGTCGAATTATTATTGTTTAGAGTTAAAGCGATTATTATTATTATTATTATTATTATTATTATCAACAGATTGTCTAGGTAGCAAGTCTGATTACGCAGTTAGAATGGACTAGTTGTTTCATTTTTGTAATATTTGCTCGCCGTAGTTTAAGCATAATCTATATTCGACTCCAATGCTGAACAGATGCAATGTTACAAGAAACTAATTTTTTTGGAAAAGTATATTGCATCCCACGGTTGTACGTTAACATAAATTAACACGTTAAACAGCTTTTTCGTTTTTTTTTCAAAGTATTCATGAATTGCTTTCTCAATTGAAACTTCTCTCTATTCATTATTACAGGTTATCCAATAGAACTACTGCCAATTATATTCCCAATGCTCACTGGTTATTTGCATCATTAGCAAAATCTATTGATTTTTCATCCTATCTGTTTGTTGATTGGTTGATTTCGCCTGAAACTACTTGCTTATCTTATTTAGTACATTATCTTAGGAGAATTTGTGCTGAAAATCAAAATGTTCATCAGCCTTTAGAATATTCTTTGAAAAATGCAATTCTATTACATTCATGGCCATTAGAACAATTAACAAATATGTTAGGTCAAATTGCCAAGTGTCTTAAAACATTAAATGAAAGTGAAGCGATTGCATTTTGTCCAAAACCGCTTATTAATCGTATTAATTATTGTTTATTGATTTTGAATAATATTTACAGCATACAGCATAGCACTGATACATTAATTCCTTCCAGATAATATTCTTGATTTACTGTATAAAACTGAATATTTATTTATTTTGTATTTTGAATTAAATAATTTTGATATTTCAATAAAACAAACTGTTTCTCAGTATTCTTTGTGTTATCATCGAAGATCATGTTCGTCTCTCTAGATTTTATCATGAGCATTATGTTTGACTGAAACTTCTGTAATATTTATTTTGCGTTACCTTACATCATAATTGTAGTATGTCCAGTAGTTCCACTAGGTGTTTGATACGAAGCTTGTTCGGTTCGAGATTCAAGTTACATCACGCTTGAATGTTCACTGTTGACGATTATTATAACCAGCTATACTACGCAGAATAAAGTCACAACAATCACAAACCTTATCATTTCACTCAAACTTGCTGACTTTGCTTCCCTTACATATAGCTTCGACCACAAATTGCGTAACCTTGCTTAATTTTCATACATAAAAACCTGTCAGTATATTTCGCCTTCCCATTTCCGGTTAAGCTCCGTGCAGATAAACTACATAAAATCACACGTAATATTTTCCGGACTCTGACAGTGTTCTGTACACTAACATAGCAACCTGTTCACTTTGAAACATGTCACGGGAATAGAATTTAAACTTCGCTATGTACTGATTGGAAGGCAAGTGCTTGAATTACAGCTTTGTAAGCGGAACTGTCACCTCTTAGAAATCGCTAGCTTGTCTGAGGAATTAGCCTTTCCTGACACAACACTGCTTTCGACCAGTAACAATTACGATCAGCTGGACACAGCACCTTATAAACTTACGGCCCGACATAGGGGTAATTTTACGCATAGAACAGTTAGCACAGCTGTTTTTATTTTATACATAGCTAAGACCTATATTAGCATCCCAACAGAAAAGCTAATAACGATAACCGAAGTCAAGATGAACAGACAAATACCAACGGTATACTCCCACCACCTAATTGTTTTATGACATGGTGCAGTTTCCAATTAGTGAGGTCATACGCTGAATCGCCATTCACACGATGTCTTTAGGAAGTACTTCCAGATTGTGTAAAAGCTCACACCCTTCCATATAAGTTCACAACAATCTAATACCCTCATGACATATTTTTAACTAACTACGTCACACTAAAGACCAAGACGGAATTGATTTGTATATAACTCTGGGCTGAAGGCATACTTCAACCGCTCGCAACTCTTTGATGAATTCACCAAATTGACGTGTGTACTTACTCTGGAGTTATAGGATGAATTTCACAATCTAGCCAAGTCTTATACGTGACTCGTGGAAAAGAGTATGTCTGTTGGAGTGACATACGATTGCCTTCAAACACGGTTCGCTTAATCCCAACACATTTCCCGAAGTAATGTAATAAGTGCAGTGTATATATTTCTCACACACTGTAAGAAAGTTGTTGCAAAGCATATATGCCGAGAACTCTTAGAAAAAAGTCCGAATATAGTATCAAAAGAGGAATCAATGCACTACACGTGCACATCAAACTCCACCAATATATGAGATGTGGGTGATTAACTTAGGTACTCCACTACCGCCAAGCCTACTCCAGGCTGGATGAGTGAGAAATATCATGGCCTTGCACAAGCTAATCACGACTAAGCATGAAACGAACATTTTCAAACAAATTAACTGAATCCATTTGGAAAAGGAAGTGACAAAACGTACGAAAATCAGATCAAGAACTACACACACCCCAGTAATCACTAAGGAAAAACTTAGTAACGTATTCCAAGACTAAAACTATTGTTTGCTAATTGTCTTTGCTTACATTGGTTATCTCAGCAGTATACATATTTGCAAAATTCCAAAATCTTACCTAATAGCTTTTCAAAACACCATGCACATAACTCTACAAACAATGCGTGCAGAGATATGCACTACGACTGCTACACCAAAACTGGAGAATAGTACCTTTATCCTCGCAATTGAGTACGCTCACTATTATTTCACTACCCTGAGACTTCTTGAAACTACATTTCAAACTCTAGTTAGTAGCTCAGATACCTCATATCCAGTACTACTGCAATGAGCTAACATCAAGTGAATTTTACAAAACATCACATTCCTAAAGGATGTTCCGACCACACATTCCTCGAATCTCTAATAACCTCAAGAATACCACCCTTAACTACGACCGACGTGAGGCACATAAGGAATAGATCACATCAACAAAACCACGTATTTCCTCATTTGATAACTCAAGGGATTTGTCGCATTGCACCTGTTTCCCAAGACAATTCACATTATGATGGAATTATCCTGCGCACACCATATACGGGGATATTTGACAAATAAGTGACAATCATTAAATTTACAAGCAAACCTAGTTATTGAATTTAATGCGAACCGTGAGAACGACTTAAAGCAACCGTATTGGAGTGGATACCACACATATTACTTAGAAACACCTATTTTTAACCAGTAGTGAACATTTCATGCAAAGTTAATTTCTCATAGGCAAGAGAAAACGACTAAATACTAGCAAATGTAAATGGATACCTTTAATGCAAATTACAACAAATTCAAAATGATGAAACCTGGGAAGGAATCAAAACTTTATTAATCATGTACATAATCATATATCAACAGATAAATCCCAACGTTCATCACGTCCTAGAAGTTCACGTTGGGTTATTACAACAAAACATTAACATATTTGAAAAAAAGGGAAAATGCAAGCGACGAAAAGGCCGACATCCACTTGTGTATTAATGCAGAAATCAAGTCAAATTATCACATGTAGGATGTACACAACAGGATATGAAGGTCCATAACAGTACCAAAATGACATGAAATAAAATATGAAGTAGGCCAATCGCCGTTGCTTCACAGCACTTAGAATAAAAATACAAATAGTAATTTAATTCCTGCGGCTCAAAGTCTGACTGAGCCAATCCAAACCCTCACATAGTCCAGAACCATTGGTTGCACAGGTAGCTTGGATGTACCACGTGCGATTACGTAGGGCGTGAAGCCCTAACTTGTCTGTCACCTCAGCAGCAGACAGTGCTTGCGGAAGATCCTAAACAAATAAAACGCCAGAAAATGCACAGTACCTGTTTGTTTGCGAAAACCAGAAGCACTGCATCTCGTAACTCATCTTCATTCAACATTCGAGTCAACTCCTGTCTTGCCTCTCCAATGCGTTCACTATCGTTGCTATCGACAACGAATATGAGACCTAAAATATAGAAATTATTTCAAAATTATTAGCATACCCTGTGTGTTCTGGAAATAATGTCTCCACAGAGGGCGAATCTTATCCTGTCCGCCAACATCCCACACTGTAAAGCTGATGTTTTTGTACTCCACTGTTTCAACATTAAATCCAATAGTAGGAATTGTTGTAACAACTTCTCCCAGTTTAAGCTTGTACAGGATTGTTGTCTTGCCAGCAGCATCAAGCCCCACCATCAGAATACGAACCTCTTTCTTTCCGAACAACCGACTAAACAAAGCTGAAAAAACTCCACCCATTTTATTTTGAGGTGACTGACAATTCCTTTAGTTTTTATATATGCTAAGTAAACGTAACCTTACGTCACTTAGGGTTAAAATAGCCGCAATACTTCTGTATGGAAGTATGCAACCAAACAAAGTAGTCTAACAAAGAATGAACATAACGTAGTAGACTACGGTATTGAAAATGTATCTGATTAAATTAAAATGATTAATAATTGGAAAATCACTGCATAGCTGAGAAATTTTCTTAACAAGTAACGGTAAGCCTGAGTTATATATCATCCTCTAGACAGCATAAAATGAGAAGGGTTTTATTTGTGATTCAGTCAGTAAGCTGTAAATCTTTCTTTCATTATCATTTTGGCCAACGCAAATTTTCGCACTCATCCTTTCACTCAATTAATGCCAGGTCACAAGCGTAGCTTCACAGAAACTCTGGAAGATGTTTTCAAGGATTTGGAATTAAAAGGTTGTGTCGATGGGTGTTGGAAATACTATGATGTCAGCGAGCAGACAACAGTGCGCGAATTTCTCAAAGGTCAGATTCAGGGATGTGTTGCTTAGCCGAAACCCAGGAATTACACTGTGCTACCCATCACCAGGCACACTGTTCCGAGAGTCAAATAGGCCTGAATTAGTTGGGTTACTTAATTTACATTTGCGTATATATTTAACAGCCTTTTTGCTGGTCTTGTCAATTCTAGACCTGTCAAGTCAGCTGTGTTAATACAGGGATAGTGGAAATTTCATATTCCACTACCTTTCCTGGATTTGTCCTTGTGTAAGCAATTTGAAATACTTTTCGTTTAGGAGCGTCTTTTTCTGTGACCCTTTTTTTCTGAGCAGTTACTCGGTTCTAATATCTCAGGAAAACTATTCCGACAAAGTTGTTGCTGTAATTCCTTAGCTAATTCTCGAGGGACTGCAGGCAGGATGGCAGCTTCAACAGGTGGCCTCAATAATCATGCACCACCTTGACTTCAACAGTATTTAGATGCCACTGCTGCTGTATGAAGGCAGACCTCATATGAATATCAGCTAACCTTCTGAGTAGGAAAAATGGCGAATTCTCAAATACCAATGTAGTCTTTATCATGGTCAAGGACTGAAAAGGCGTTAGTCTTCCCAATTACGATGTTGTATGCTTCGTGGTGCTGTCTTCAAAGAGGTGTTTAGGTGAATGCTTTCAAGTTAAAGTAGGGAAAACTTGATAGTTGATGAGCAGTGTGATAAGTTGCCGGTAACAGACGTATAAATAGAGGGGAACACTGAACAGGTGCTGGTCGAGCAGAAGCATTCAGACTTTCACAGAATAAGAACATTCGTATGGCTTCACTGAGATCCTCGTCATCATATGCGATTCGAGAAACACCTTGAGGGGCAGAACCCCATTTGTGTCTATGTCATATCTGTGGGGAAAGTCAGTCACTTAATTCCGATTACATCACGTATACAAGTAGGGTGATTAATGAAGATTCGGGTCTTATACTGATTTCCTTAACCAGTAAATAATACTGTTTCACTGTGTTACATATCTAATAAACAAATTAATATGGAATAACATACTAGCACAGTGCCTAAGTTTTACACGTATATTTATACTGATTTCTCAGCTTGCTGTCTGTAAGTGAATTTTATCGTTACTTTTATTGAGCTTTTTCATATGCTACGTTTCCTCGCCTTATTTGCGCGTCACTGTGCTTACGAAATGCACATTAAAGAACAACTTCTTTCATCTTACTCCATTCATGGCTCAGGTTGGTTATTTTTGCGTCACATTTTGGGTTCCCACTGGTGAACTCAATTTGTTTCCATTACGCCCTTTATTGCATCATGGTCAGCAGTTATTCATTGCTCTTTTGGTCGTTTCCAGATCTGTATTACTTTATTCATGCCTTCGTCAAAGGTAAGCATTTGTTGATTATAATGTCTCATTTACCGGCTGAGGAATCCGTTCCTGAGAACTCAAATTTAGGGGCAACTAAATTAGTAACCAAGAAAGCCAACTGAAAGATGCTGAAATGGTTCGCCCACTTATAGCATTTCTTCGAACAACGCAGCTGTAAGTTTGAGAACTTCGGGCAAATGTACTTGTGATCTCAGTTACCTGATCCCATTAAACAGTGGGGGCACCGATATTTCACCCTCCCGCCCCCAAGAACGCTTTGCTGTTATTAGGTGTGATTCCTGATAATCAGTGCATACAATGGTTGTCTAATGAGGAGGCCATTGGAGATAGACCCTTGGACAGTTCATAAGCAACTCGCTGTAATTAGCAACAGACAGCACAGTAGGAGGTGATATACTAGAACAACACAGGATGCAGGCATTTGTGGGGTATGCGCAACTTGCAGTGAATGCCCAAGATCCGTACTCTGACACTAATCAATCAGCATGTATCCCAGCACGGGACGCGCTTCACTGAAGGGCCACTTAAACATGCAATTAAGAGTAACTATCCGAAAATACCAGGCCGTGTCCTTGGTATACGTGTAGTGTAATTCCATATCGGATAAGTTCATTTCGATCACCACAAAGTGGTGCATTACTAATGGCTGGATGACGTTTAGGGCAGAATTAATTCCTTATGATCATGATAATTAGTCACGGAGCTTCATGATCTACGTGCTTACATATATATAACCTCGCCTAATTAACTAGTTTTCTGGTTCTCTAGCCGGTTCGAAGCTCGAATAAAGAGGGAGGGTTGGGCGCAGGGCTAGCTACCCTACACCACTAAACCCATGAAACCTCTAGAGAAACTTCAAAGCACAGAAAATATGTTAAAAATACAAAAAAATGCAAACAGTCCTATCCTTCGCTGGAATCGAAGAGGCGGAAGGACACAGCAGGCTGGTAAAAGCCGGCCTTCGGGAAGCGAGTCTATCTGCCAATGTGTCTTCTCTCGATGAAAGCAAGAATAAGAATGGGTACGTGGAATGTTCGTACAATGTACCAGACTGAGAAGGCTGCCCAGGTAGCCAACGAAATGTGAAGACATGGAATAGAAGTGCTGGGTATCTGCGAGAGCAGACGGAATGGAAGTGGATTGTCAAAACTATCAACTGGAGAGTCAGTAATTGACTACGGCCACCCAGACGACGAATACGAGCACAATGGTTAGTGAGTGGCCGTAATGATGTCATCAGTGCCAGCCAGAGCCCAAATGCAATGGGAACAAATTTCATCCCTTAGGATCATGATAGCAAGATTCAACTCAAAAGGAAGGAAGGTCACAATTACCCAGCGCTACGCACAGTGCTACAAACAACTTGGAACAAGAGAAGAGGAAAGATTTCTACAGGCAACTACAAACGGTAATAGAAAAAAATTTTGGTTAGTGACCAAGACGTAATTTGGAAACTAATTCAACACTATGGCGTACCTCAAGTCTTCATCAACCTCAGTAGCACGTGTCAAATGATCCACAACGGAAGGCTTAGGGAGGCTTTCGAAGTACATACAGGAGTAAGACAATCTGGCTGCCTTTTGTCACCGAAGATATTCTTAATTGTGGTGGAAAGGATCATGCGTCAGACTGTGGGGAGCGAGGAGTCAGGAGTACGCCGGGCCACCAACAAGAAGACTCTAGAAAATCAGGATTTCGTGTGTGGATGATACATGTCTAACGTCACAAATTCAAATTCGAAGACTTGCAGGCGGGCGAAAACCAGCTGACTGGCTCAACAGGCTGGAAGCAAAGACAGGACTGATGGGACTATCTAAAAGACGGGACTGCAGATGAACATAGAGAAGACGAAGGTGATGAAGATAACCAACAAAATAACAACAGCAACAACAACTAACACCAGCCACCATCAACAGGAAAGTCTTAACAGAGGTTACCTCCTCCACTTACCTGGGAGACATCGTTTCAACTACAGGTGGAACGGACGAAGATGTCGAAGCCAGTCAGGAAATTTATGCCTTTATCAACCTGAAAACATTTTGGAAATCTTCTGCACTGCACTCAGCATAAGGAACACTAATATCAATTCAGTCCTTCTATACGCGTCAGAAACTTCACCAACGAAAAGGATTTCCAGCATGTTGCAGGTTTTCATCAACAGCTGCTTCCGCTGCCTCCATACTGGAGATCAAATGGCCAGCCAGGAAGAATTAGTAACAAAAACCTCTGACTGAGAACAAACCAACCAAGAGCCGATTGGTCAACATACATGTAAGAGATAGTGGAGGTCGGGCATACACTGAGTAGGCGGTCGAATGACATCTCGCGCAATACAGGCCATCGCTCGGGCAGAATCCAAATGGGAAGCGGCGAATGGGTCATCGGTGCGGTGCTGACATGGAAGAGATCGTACGAGAAGGAAATGAGAGATTAGTGTCAGTCGTGTATCCAGATGAAGAGGACAGCAGAAAACAGAAGAAAGTGGAGATGTGTTGTTGAAGCCCTAAATTCCACTCGAAATCCAAGGGAAAAGTTATGATACCTACATGTTTGCCCCACTTGACTTAATTTCCACACCTCATTGTCACTGTTACTGATTTGACCAACGCTTAATTTCCAGCCAACTTATTTGGTCAACCTTAGTTCTAATTTAAATGGCATCATTCTCTACTCTACCCCTGCTTACTCTGTAACCGTAATTACCTCTGTTGCTACCCGGACCTAATTTGAAACAGTCAGCAGTAACTACACAACTTACTGGTGCTACGGCGGGAGCGGTGGCAAAGGAGTTTGTTAACAATGGGCAGTAATGAACGGAATACACATAACAATAACTACTGACATAGGAGCTCAGTTTGAGTCAAATCTTTTTAAAACAACTCGTTAAAGTCCCTTGGGTCACACCGAGTCTGTTGTTCAGCATGTAACTGTCGAGACAACTATTTGATAGGACGCTCTCATCGAAAGCTGGAGTCTGCATTGTCCCAACTTACCGGACGGAATTCCCACCGCTGGTAATATCTAGTATACGAACAACAATGGAAGCTGATGCTCAGTGCTTTGCCGCAGAATTAGTATTTGAAACCGCTCTGAAACTCCACGGCGACTTTATTAGTCCTACTGCCGACGAAAACAAACTTGCCCAGGCCAAATATGCCGGTGGACAACGCCTACAAACTGCTAACTTAAGGCCCCACGGGAGCAATCAAGAGCGGCGTGCATTATCAGGGACTTGGATTCCTGCCCATGTGTGTGGGTGGTATTCGATAATACG